CGGAGAGGAAATGCAGGTTTAAAATCTTCAACAATCGCTCATGGGTGAAATAAATTCGCCTGTTAAAATAACAATCGTAAAGTAGTCGAACAAACTTTTTCTGTACATTTTCAAGTTCATTCGAGTTTGTCTGGTTTAAACGATTCCAAACAACGCTGGGGAAATCCAGTTTAGACAGGATGAGGGATCGTTACAAATGCAAGAAGCAAGAATATCCCCTAAAGTTTCGAGTCATTCTGGTAATCGCGCCCAAAGTACGGTAACATATATTGCTCAAGTTATCATCATCATCATCATTTATTTTCTTTGAGGGCCCCAGGGGGCATTATACAAGGGAATGAACACAATAAAACATCAACAAAAATACTTAATAAAAACACGCTGTAACCTATACATGTATTTCAGAAAGAAAGAGGTTAACGGCTGCAGCAAACTTGTTAGTGTCAGTCATGTTTACAATGAGGTCAGGTAATGAGTTCCAATCGTCAATAGCAGATGGTAAAGTCGACATTTTATAAGAGACAGATGACGAAGTAATTGAGCGCAGTTTACATGAGTGGTCAAAACGAGGGAAAATACGGTAGGGAGGTGATAGTAGAGAATCTTTTAGATGGTTGTTGTGGTAAAAGATTTTGTGAAGAAGAGTGAGACGTGACACCCATCGACGTAAAGAAAGAAAGTCAAGGTTAGCTGATTTGCGTAATCCTGATATGCTAGTGTATGGGGAGTAGTCAGAGTAAATAAAACGAAGACCTCTGTTTTGAACGGATTCAAGCATGTTAGATATGATTGCCATGGTGACCATATGGATGAAGCAAATTCAAGTTTAGATCTGACCAAGGTCGTATAAGCTAGTAGTTTTACTGAAGGTGTGGCTAGTCTGAGGTTACGGCGAAGAAATCCGAGAGTACGGTTAACATCGGCAGTGACAGCATTTATGTGAGTAGTCCATGACAGATCAGAGGTCAGGTGAACGCCTAGGTATTTATATGAGGAACAGGTAGCTACTGGGATATTGGAAAGTTGATAAGAAAAGGATGAAACATGTGAACTGCGGGTGAATGATAGAGATTTACATTTATTAAAGTTTAAAGTCTTTTGCCATTTGTGGCACCACTGAGTTATAAGTGCGAGGTCATTCTGCAAAATTTGATTATCGTGGTTTGAATTAATAGGTCTATAAATTACACAGTCGTCGGCGAACAGACGTATTGAAGAGGAGATGTTGAGGTAGAGATCATTATTGTATATTAAAAATAGAAGGGGGCCAAGAACGGTTCCCTGGGGGACGCCGGAGGTTACAGTGCAGGTCGTAGATTTGGTGTTGTTAGTAGATGAGTACTGGGTGCGATTTGTGAGGAATTCGGAGATCCATTTGACGACTGAAGGATGGATATTAATATTTCTAAGTTTCAGTAAGAGACGTTGATGAGGGACCCTGTCAAATGCCTTGGAGAAATCAATAAATATGGCGTCAGTTTGCTTATTAGACTCAAAGTTTGAGGAAACGTCAGTAAGAAAAGTGTTAGTTGCGTTTCGCATGAGTATGACTTGCGAAAGCCGTGCTGATGCTCGAAAAGAATGTTGTGGGAGTCTAGAACGTTTATTATGTTAGAACAGAGTATATGCTCTAAGAGTTTAGACGACACACTGGTGAGTGAGATGGGGCGATAGTTGTTGATTAGTTGGCGATCACCTGCTCTGTAAACATGGATGACGTTAGCGATTTTCCAATCGCATGGAATTTCAGAAAGTTGAAGAGACTGCGAGAAAATGTCGCAGAGGAAAGTTGAAGAGACGAGTTTAGTATTTATTAATATTTTCGAGTTTATTTGGTCGTCGCCAGAGCTAGAAGACACCTTCTGCTGATCAATGGCCTTTAGTACACAAGTGTGGTCGATCATGATAGGATTCATAGGAGGATGAAGGGGTTGGCACAAGTTGGGCATACTTGACAAGTCTTCATTGCTAAAGATCGAGCTAAAAAAGTTGCTAGTTTCAAGAGCACTATGTTCGTCAGAAAGTGGAAGGCCGTACTCGCCAACGAATTGTAATGGAAGAGAAAGTGCTGGGTTGTTTACTTTCCAAAACGTTTTAGGTTTATTGGTTAAAATGTTGGGGAGGTCATGAGTATAAAATTTGGATTTGGCATCATGAATCGCGGATTCCTAGGCCCTAGCGCATTCGTGATAGGCGTTCCAAGTTGCGTTAGTGTTATGAGCCTTTGCCCTCGTATAAGCTCTTTTTTCCTGTTGGAGTGACGATAAACTGTTTTATCGTACCAAGGGTTAGTGTTATCGGATATAATTCGAGTGAGTGGAACAAAACGTTTGATTAGGGATGTTTGTCTATTTTTGAAAAGAATCCAGTTTTTATTGACCGTCCTTTCTGCGAAGTTAACTGAGAATATGAGATAAAAGTCTTCGAGGTTGTGTTGATAGATGCGTAGTCGGCTCTCGCGTAATCGTGAATGAATTTGCAATAACGTGATTTCTTAGGAGTAGTGATGGAGAATGTTAGCTCAATGACGAGATGGTCGCTAATGCTGGGTAAGTATGTGACGTTGCTGAAGAGTGAAAGGTCATTGCTTAAACATAGGTAGAGTACGTTGCCGCAGCGATTGGTAATTCTAGTGGGTTGAGTGATAACATTAGATAGGCTAAAATCTAAACAAAGGTCTATAAACTCTTGAGAAAATGCACAGCTAGAACAAATAGTAAACCAGTCAATATTTGGGTAATTGAAATCACCAAAAAGGGTAACTAAAGCGTTAGGATATTTACATGCGAGTTCAGAAAGGCATTTATACAGCTCAAAACCAAAATCTCTTTTATTATCCGTCGGCCTGTAACGCATACCCATTATTACGGAAGGCGTTGTGCAAAGATACACCCAAACAACTTCTAGGTCAGTGGTAAGCGGTATTAGCCGAGATGGTACTGTAAAACCCTTAATGTTCGCGAGCCCTCAATTTTCGCGAATTCGCGAAATTTAAGGGCGCGCGAAAATTTCGGTCCTTAAGACTTTCAATGCAGGCGTCTGGAATTCGCGAAATTTAGTGGTCGCGATTATGTCATCTGTGACCGATTCGCGAAAAATAGGGGCCGCGAAAATAAAGGGTTTTACAGTACCCTTCTGAAAATTCAGAGGCGATACAAGATTTTCATACAATGTTATTGGATACGAGAACTTACAAGATTATGTATGGATACAACAAAATGGTGAGTTGGGCCAGTTGGTTCATAATGGAAAAAGACAAGCGCCGAAAGACCAGGACAAGGTAAGAAGACGACGACACAAGGCCCACTCGCAACTGAAGATTTATTTATGGAAAAACCTAGTCTTATATACACTTTTAAAAAACACCCACGTCACTTTCCACGTGCCCACTCTTTATTCAAGAATAGACACTCTTTTTCTGACAGAGTCACTGAAGGCTCGCTTATGCACTTATCTGCACCCTTCCTTATTGCATACGCCTCATGAATTTCCCTTGTAATATTTTTGCTGTATCGCCCCAGGATTGCCACGTCATTGAAAACTGGTGTGCACTCACATCGGTTGCAATGCACAGCCAGGTGCCCCGAAGGTGACTGTTTTAAGGAAGCAGCATGCTCTCTTGCGCGATCATTCACACAACGCCCAGTTTGGCTTACGTAAGACCTACCGCAAGAAAGCGGAATGTCATACACAACACCAGTGTGACATTCTACAAACTTATTCTGGTGTTTTTTCCTACACTCGTCACTCTTCCCTTCGGGATCATTGATTTTCCTGCATAACGCAGAAAGCTTTTTAGGGGCTGAAAAAACGACAGGAACGTCGTAACGTTCCGCCACCTTTTTTAAGTTATGAGACACTGCGTGAATATAAGGCATTACAGCGGTTCTTACTTTTTGGCGTTCAAGAACGTTTCTTTTCGCACCCCTAAATTTCTTTTTGAGGCCCTCTGCAGCCTCAACAATGGATCTCAGCGGAAAACCCGCACTTGCAAGCCGATCTACCTGTAGAAGGAAACTCCTTCCCATTTCCTCAGGACAGGATTTGTTCAGAGCGGCTCCGAGGCACGAAGAAGCAATACCTCTTTTCACTAACTATTGCTTCTTCGTGCCTCGGAGCCGCTCTGAACAAATCCTGTCCTGAGGAAATGGGAAGGAGGAAATGCAATAAGGAAGGGTGCAGATAAGTGCATAAGCGAGCCTTCAGTGACTCTGTCAGAAAAAGAGTGTCTATTCTTGGATAAAGAGTGGGCACGTGGAAAGGGACGTGGGTGTGTTTTAAAAGTGTATATAAGACTATGTTTTTCCATAAATAAATCTTCAGTTGCGAGTGCGCCTTGTGTCGTCGTCTTCTTACCTTGTCCTGGTCTTTCGGCGCTTGTCTTTTTCCTTGTAGGGATACAAGAAGTTACGAGATCTTTTATGGATACAAGATCTTGTATGGATACGAGATCTTGTATGGATCAAGATCTTGTATGAATACGAGATCTTGTATGGATACAAGATCTTGTATGAATACAAGATCTTGTACAGATACAAGAAGCTACCAAAGATCTTGTATGTGAACGAGAAGTTGCAAGATCTTGTGTGAAAACAATAAAGTGAAGCGTCATAACGTAAGAAATTTGGGGCACCATGGAGCCTTGGATGTAGGATAAGTTTATTATTGATGATTGTGTCTATTAAATTTATCAAAAGGTGGTATAGAAAAATTGAGTTCATGCATGTAATAAAAAATGTGTTTCAACTGTATACATAGAAAAAAGAGGAAAGCATATTATATTTATCATGTGTATGCCACTCCACCAGTCATTCTATATACATTGTTGATTCCTAGCTATTTTATATGTTGTGGGGCATTCAATGTTTTAATAATCCAATTCGGATATACCATAATAACTTTATTGAAGGTTGCCAGGGAGAATTTTAAGTGCATGGGGAAATATGGCTTCAGTAAAAAGCATTAATTTTGCCAAAATACTCCCACACTTCGTTCCCCCTTGGGTAGTAGTCTACGTCTACCCGCTCTCAGCAGGCTGCTGGGTTGCCAGCTGCTGGGTAGCCGGCTGCTGAGCTGGTGGCTGCTCTGCTGCTAGCTGCAGTGCAGACTTGGCCTCCAGCTTTCTCCATTGGTTGGCCTTGTCTTGCAGGAAGGTGGCCACATACTTGTTCATTAGGCCTAGCCGCCGCTTCTTGTTCGGGGCATCCCCAACGAAGGTGGAGAAGGCAGCTGAAAACATTGAACAGAACAAAATGTACCAATGTCAGCAGAAATTTTTAAAAAGTTTGAGGAGAAATAAAGGAATGGACCTTTTCCACATACCGACGGCACCGGGCGGTGGCTGCACGAATTAAAAATCGAGGAAGTGACCTACCTGCGCTACCAATCGATTATGGGAGCTACGCTACCAGTTTCTTCGCTCTCTGAGCAGCGGCGCCTGCCCAACGCCACTTTGAAGAGGAGCCGTGGCGTCCACCAAAACGTCGTGTTTTCCTTTCCGTCGACGTTCTTTTTTTGTGTAACACAATTATATGTATGCTGCAGTTACGCGTTCTACTCGCTGATATACAGCCTCCTTCCGAATTTCCTCGATTTTTCGTTCCGACTTCCGCCGCTTGGCATCGGGCGCTCGCGCGTGCGCAGAACGCTTCTCGGAAAAGGTCCATTTTGCAAAGCGAGCACATCAAGCTATATTGGCGACTCCAGCAACCTACAGGGGGCGCCACCACCAAACAAACATGGCGGCTGAGTCCAGGTCGCGTCGACTCGGCCGGGCTGCCTGAACAGGTGGCGCGTTCAATTTAACAGATTTTCTTTTGTTTAATGCCCAATTTTATAGGTGTTTGAACCGAGGCGGTTAAGTGTAGCCGATGCACATAAAGTTGCAAAGCATAGTTTTGTTTTTTCTGTGTTTTTTGTTCTTTTCATGCCAAACTTTCGTTTCGGAGATTTCGTTCAAAACCGAAACTATATGCTCGGAGAGACGGTAATATACTAATCTAAGGAAAGCGGCGGTGACTACAGGATTGTTCCACCGATAGTAATTTTCAGCTAACTCGCATCCCTCGACCATGCGACTTATCTGTCCGCGAAATCGAGCTTTTGTGCGTATCCGCGTTTAAGAAACAGCTGCAGTCGTCTGCTCGGTCAACAACACAGGCTGCAGAAAAATTAAGAAAATTAAGCAAGCGCTTCTTAAGCCAAGGACCATATTAACCCGCCGGCGCCCCACTAAGCAGCTGATACTCATATTTCAATTCAGGTTTTAGTGTGGTCCAGAGGCTTTATTGGCGAAAGCAGCCAAGATGAATAGCCAACTCAAACTTGAAGTTAACCAAAGACAACCAAACTCAAGAAAAGCAGCTATCGAACCTTCCCATTCACTTGACTGCAAAATTGGCGTTCCCCCAGTGAAACACCTCATCTGTCGTCCTCAGTCCACTTTTCTACATCCTTACAAAGAAACCACTTATCGTGATTCGAGAAAGACAAGAAATCAAAATGTTTTTCCGTGATTCCTCCCCATCCAAGAAATCGAAAGCACGCGACCGTGGGCTGTGAAGTAGAGGGGCTTTCAAACACGTGATGGGAGGAAACAATCTACTAAGGTTTCACCACACTAATGAACACTGAGGCAAACTTAAGAAATTTTCGGACATCTGTGAAATTACACTGTACGCCACCGCGCCGACAACAAGTGTCCCCGAAAGCCACCAGAGACGCGGAGGGGCGCGGAGCGACCTGGTCCGGCTGGTTCCCGGTTTTCTCGCTTGGTGGCGTCCGTTTTGCTGGAGTCGCAAATAGACCAACACGCTGCTTGCAAACAAGTCGGTGCTTGTCCACACCACACGTGAGTACTGCACGTGCACAGAAACCAGATTCGAGTAAGGTGATGCACCTGTGCTCTGGTGACAGCAGCGGCATAACGTCAGAGCCGTGCCTTGGTACATATATACTATAAGTAGTCTTTATCCCAGACATCACTTCTATAAAAAATACCTGTTCAATAAATTTTAATGTTTTAGCATGACCACTAAATATTTGCACAACAAAAGCTTATTTTGAAAAAAAAATTTACACGACCATGCAAGGCAGAAGTTACAGCTATTTTGACTATTTTAGGTAGTGTTCATTTCAGGTAAATTATTGAACTTAAATATGCGAGTAAATCGGGTATGCTTGCATACCTTGTTATTTTGAGAATGTGCCATATTATTAAAAGTGCCGGAAGGAGAAATGAAGGGAGGGCCGTAATGCTTCAACTGGGCAGGCCTCTGTTTAAACCTCACAAACAAGGTAGAAACCAAAGATTGGCGTATGTACAGCAATTAACCAACTTCCCCGCGAAATTTAGTCAGGAAATCTCGTTATAATGTTGCACATGAATTCGGAATTTTCCATTAAATATTGCTTCCTACTGAAGTTTTGGGTAAAAAAATTTCAACAGAAGCAATAAATAAAAATGTAACTAATAGCACAATATATTCCGTCTCACATTCTGTTCACCTCAGCTTTATCACAGATGAAGCACCCACTCATTTTTCAATAAACTTCTTAGCCTGATATCTTTGAAATGAAATTAAAATGTTTTTTAAAACAATAGATACTTTGCAACAACTAATTTGCTTACTTTAGCAAGCATGATGAAATACAACAAGCAAGCAGGTTGCTAGCATGTCTTCCATAACCAAGAGCATTGCACTCCCGAGTTCTGATGCCTGGCTTGTTTAATGCGGATAGATTTGAGCACATTCGCACATACCACGAATACTGCAGACTTTTTCGGGAGTCAGGGCCTTCCTTGGCTTCTTGGCGTTCTCCATCTTCACAAATCGCCGACAGGGAACCCCCGATAGGCTTCTGTTGCGAAGCTCCCTGTCGGTCCATGTTGCACGGAGAACATCTTTTACAAACTTTGCGTCTGTCGCAGACTCGGCGATGTGCTCCTCCTTCGTCTTTGGGGCGGTCTTGATGCCTCTAGCCTGCATAAAAGGAATTATTGCAATGTTATCCCTACAGATTGAATATTTTGGAAGTAAGCAGATACTCCTTTTTAGGGCTAAACATGAAATGAGGTGCCTCTTGGGGGCACAGATCTGGTCAGACATCATGCCTTTAGTCTCAGTCACCTTCCAAAAACAAATAAACAAATGAAGTAAAATAATGAAAGATATGGTGATGGTGCAATGGAATGTGCAGTGCTTGAATACTTTTCAGTGGATGCGGCTCCATATGGTTATGTACCACATGATGAATAGTGCTCAGCTCTGTACTACATGGCAACTGCATCATACCAGGAACGCCTTGGTACTTGATTAGACATGGCTCTAGATTGGACAATGAAAGAGCGTGGTTTGTTAAAGGAGCTGTCAAACAATCTTTTCCGAAGTTCTGAACTATATGTCTATTTAAAATTCTTGTCCTTCATTACATAACCGACGTTCATTCATTTAATCGTCCACATTCATTTACTAGTGCAAAAAAGTTAATTTCAGTTTTTCGGGGAGCTACCCACCGAGTTCTACTATGGTGCCTGGAGCGCATCTCCGACTGCTGTGTTTAGTGTCCTATGCTGCCCATACATCAAAAGTGGTCTCGAAGTGGCAAAAAATGACGTCACAGAGGCCGAAGTGTCGTGCTGTTGCATGTCGAAATCCTAGTGGCTGGTCATAGAAATGCATGCAAAAAGCATGAACGAATGCGAGTGTCGCCGTCGTCACGGCGTCCCAACTTGTGGCTGCCGAAGCTTCCATGGACTGTGACACTGGAGAGCAACCTGTGGCATAACAGGCGTCTGCCACATCCACCAGTGCTGCTGGGACACCGCCAGGGCCACAACCGGCAACAGCATGGCACTTCTATGACATCATCAGGGACCACTTGTTTGGACACGGTAAACAGACCATTCAAAGACGTGTTCCAGGCACAATAGTTCTACAGACACGTCAGGATAGGTAACTGATAGAAAATTTTCGTTGTCTGTGAAAGATGGCGACCTAGACCCGGACTCTATGGGCGAAGCCAGAGTCCGGTCTGACATCTGATGTTATGCTCACATAACTCTAAAATGGCCGACCGCATTGACCTCTAGCCGCTATAGCGCCGCCTATTGAACCGCGGTCGGCTTTTAGTTTTCCAGCCGTACGCCGACATTGAATGTTCTTTGGGCTACCATATGCCATGCTAATAGGAAAGTTTCTGAGGGAATATTTTGCAACTTGGATCGGTCAAGCCGCATACTGATACGACCGTCAAATGGTGACCTGCGAATATGTTCTCGCTCCGATCAGAAAAGTGCTGATCTGCTTACAGAAAAAGAATGAGAGGGCTAAAAACTGGTGTAGCCAGGAATTTTTTTCAGAGGGGGCTAAGGTGGCTGGAGATACCCATGACTTAAGGTGTGGAAGGGAGGAGGTCAAAAGGCATGTGTATACTAAAAGGTAAGCTGTTTTTTTTTTTTTTTTTTTGGGGGGGGGGGGGTTGAAGCCTTATAAGTTTCCCCCTGGCTACGCCACTGGCTGGAAATGTAAGCGAAATAAATTGATTTTGCAGGATTAGCATGTCAAGTTGCTGTTGAGGAAGACTGGTAAATTTAAATTGATGAAAAAGTCACAACTGCCAGTTGTGCGACTTACCTATGGCTAACCCCGAAAAACAAGCGGCACGAAAAAGCATGTGCTGATAATCGAAAGGTCACGCGTGCATATCCCTTCTACCTACTGACCTTGCAAAGTTCAGGGGGAATACTCTTGAAATTGCAACTTTTTTATATCTTAACTTTATGTTTTATTATGATTGTAATCCACAATCAGGTTCCACAACGAATGACAGCCATGGCAAGACAAGCAGCATATTTACAATGGTTACCAAACAACAGGAGATGTGGATGTGCTTGAAATCGAAACTGTACCGTGACCATATGATGTAGTGGCATACAGTTCATACAAGAATACCAATGTACAACTCAATACTTTCCTCACTCCCAATTTATCACTTGAAGATTGAATAAAGTGGAATATTGATTCAACCTTTTTACATAGCTATCATGATGCTTTGTTGCTCATGCTCCCGAGGGGAGCATGAGCATGGTCGTTTTGGACAGTTAAAAGAAAAATGTGTTCTTAAACACAGTTAATAAAATGCAGGACCAATATTTTACCGTAATACTTTTAATGAATATAAAAATTAAGTTCTGGCAGACACATTTTTTTTTCATTACCTCTTTAAACCACAATCTAGGTTTTTACCTGCTCTCATTTGTCACTTCACGCGTCATTGATATCTGCATTATTAAGCGTTTATAGTGGAACCCTTGAAAATGTATAACTGCGACATTCAGTGGTTACAAACTATTTATGAAATATTTAATTAAAGGGTGCGTGACAACACTACAGTCTTCCCCTCATGCTGGGTGGTCTTGTTTTCTTTCCTAGTGAAAGCCAATTTAAAACATGGACAGCATCATCTCTAGGACTCAGCTCCAGGAATACATTGCAACCATGCAAGTCCGAATCTCAAATATCATAAGTCATTTTTCCATAGATGATATATTGTCTTGCATAATGCCTCAACCACGTGCCTTTGCATGCTTCCATGTGGCAGCTCAGTGTGGTACAACATATATCCTGGGACTGACCACCATAGTGTTTCCTTTCTCAGCTCTGACACAGAAAAAAAGCTGTGCATATGGAACATTATAACAATATTCCTTTACGCTGCAGCCATACAAAAACACCAATCAGTCTCTGCATATGCACACGGGACAACAAGAACACAATGGCAATTACTTTTGTGTTGTAAAGTGCTGGGTTTGTTCGTGAGAGTGATTGTTAGAGACTGGTTTCCTAAATGCACCAATGGGATTGTTTTGTCCAAATTTCTCAGAAAGAAATCCTCACGCCCACGTGGTATGTGGAGGGTGATGATCTTGTGGACCAATGGTTCTTAAATGGGGTTCCGCAGACAACTTGGGGTCCGCGAAGGCTTTCTAGGGGTCCGTGAAGCCCTGCCTCATCAGTCAAGCCCGGCGATAAAGGTTGTCTTTTTTCAGGTCGAGAAGAAAATTTTCAGTTTTCCGGCCAGTTTTCTCGTGTGTATATAAATAAGGGAGGTCTACTTCACTCTAGCAATTAGTTATATCCATTTATGAAATCATTATTATAATTAATCTATACCTTTCCCCTCCCCTCACCACGAATGGAGCCCTCCATTATCTACGCCGAACCACAAAAGGTCCGCAAAACAGTGATGGTTAAAAATCTCTGTTGTAGACCATGCTTGTGGGATGTTTCAATTGAAACAGCCGACATCATTTTTCCACCACTGGCATTCTTTGTTTCAGACTGAACAGCTAATTAGCAGTGTTGCAGATGTATGACTCAAAAGTTGCAAATAAACGTGACAGCAGTGTCTATAATCGTGATCAACCTACCGGAACGGAGTCAACAGCCGGCACGGGGTCCACAGCCGGCACGGGGTCCACAGCCGGCACGGGGTCCACAGCCGGCACGGGGTCCGCAGCCGGCACCCTGACAGGAGGGGTTGGCAAACTGGGGCTCTGGTCCAAGGAGCCCATCGCTCCAGCTAGTGCTCCAATGGGTCGGGTCCCCTCGTTGTGACGTGGCTCCTCTGCCAAGCACAGAGGCAGAGGCACGGGGTGCGCCAGCTCTTCCAGGTCCAGGGAGGGAAGGGGATCGTGGACTGGAATGTCTTCCTGTAGAACTGGCAGCACGAGAGACCTCCGTGCCCCTGGTGCAGAAGAGTGCACCCGTGCTCGGGGGCAGCCTGCTCCAGCTGGCAAGCCTCCTCGAACACTAGTAGCCAGAGGAGGGCCGGAAGGACGGCTTGCCTTGGCAGAGGGCAACTCCGCTCCTGCAGTCGCTTCAAAGCATATCCCCAAGTATTAATCTACACAGGCTCAGCTGGTGCCTCTATTGTCGTCAAGCATCACACTTACTCGTGTAGTAGCCCCACTCTGTAATACAATATTTGTCCAACTGCTGCATGGGCACTCTGTCGAGTTTTAAGTTTGTGCTTTGTCACGGCCAGCTTAAAAAATTCAGGGCGTCACCTATTATGTTCATGCTTCATGATTAATTCTTTGGCATTCTTATGGCTAATGATGCTATCATATTGGGTATAGTGTGACAATAAGAGGCTTGGCATTCAGTATGGCTCACTCCTTAAGTTACCAGTGACTATAGTACCTACGGGAGGGGAGAACATACAAGAAGGGACCCAAAAGTAACCAGAATAAATTTATGGAGGGCGGCCGTTCGTAGTACCAGCTTCCGCCGCTAGCAGCGCTTATCGGCTCCCTTTCCGAGTCAGTCTGCCAACCAGCGTCGTCTGCTAAATTTCTAGCGGTATGTTGTAAATTTATTTTCCCCGAGTGCTTAAAAAGTATTCCTCGATTTTTGCAATGTTTCATTTCAAGGACCTTCCACATTCACAAAAAGTTTTCCTTTCAGAACTTTCTTCATATGGTCAAACAGAAAAAAATTACAAGGTGAGAAGGTCTGGTGAATGGGGGGAGGGGGGAAGCAATGTCACACCATTTTTGTTAAAAAGCTGTTTCATCAACAGGGCAGTGTGTGCTGGGGCATTGTAGTAATGGAACCACCACTTCCCCCTTTCCCTCAAATCGCAGTGTTTCTACCGCACCGAGTGGCGCACGCGTCGCAAAACTTCCAGGTAAAGCACCTGATTAACAGTTTCACAAGGGGGCTACACAAGACGGCGGGACGAAGGGACCGGGATGGCGCCACCTGCTGCGATTGGTCGGTGGCATGGCACTGACCAATCGCAGCAGGTGGCAACCAGTCCTTTCGTCCCGCCTCGTCTTGCCATCTTGCATAGACCCCCAGGAGGAATAAACTCAAGAGTAAACAATGCCCAAATTTTCTCAATGTTTTCATCAGTTGAGGGTCGCCCTGAACGAGGTTGGTCGTCACGTCGATCAATAATTCACCTGCCTTGAGGCGAGAAAACCACCTGTAGACTTGCAATTTTTCACGGCATCTTCCTTGTAAGCCGTCTGAAGCAAAATATGTTTCCGCTGCCGTTTTCATAAAAAAAGAACACAATTTTACGGCCTCACGCTATTCCTTCAAATCTGACATTGCAAAAAAAAGACGAATGACTCGAAAAAAAAAATTTACAATATGTTATTAGAACTTTAGCAAACGACACCGGTCAGCAAACTGACTCAAAAGGGGTGCCATAAGCACTGCTAGCGGCGGAAGCTGGTACTACGAAGAGTTAGCCCTCCAGAAATTTCTTTTCATTACTTTTGGCCCCCCCGCCCCCGCCCTTCGTATGGATGTAGAAAATTCTGTAAAGTTCTGTTTCCTTTCGGTCTATTTTCTTTAAGAACTGGCAAAATTTTTCATTCAGGAGTGTGATAGAGTTAACCACTGGGCAAATGCAAAGGCACAGATTTACTCATACAAGATTCATTGTCACAAATTAGCTGCCCTCGAAATTACTGCCCGTCATGCTCTGTCTGCACATCTGTCCTCCCCGAGACTACTCTGCCCTCTCCCCGGTAGAGGAAAAGCGTGTTACTCATGGGAAAAAATTGCAAACTGCTCTTCCCCATTCAAAGTATGCATCACCAAGCAATGCAGGAAAGTCAACTTGCATATTCAACAAGTTTTGCCATGCGGTAATTATGTTTATTAAGACAGGATTTGTTAAGGCATGAAAATATTTATGCTGATTTTTTGAAAATAAAACCACCTGCACAGTACAAACTCACGTGGTCTGCTCATTAGTGCCTTCTGCACGTTGCGAGCATGCCTCCTCTCCTCGTCCAGCTCTTGTCTCAAGCGCTTCACCTCTTCTTTAAGGGTACGCTTTTTTGATCGCTCAGCCTCATACAATGTTGCAGCAACCATTGGTGGACCTGCAAGACAAAACAAATAAATGTAACAACTTCTGCTATACATTTATCTTGATTGCTCCAGTAAAAGTAACTCTTAAGGCTAGAAACATGAAATTCTGTATCTACACAAAATTTAAGCTAAGTATTTTAAGAATTATGCATCCTTACATATTCATAAAAATGCTCTGTGACTTTGGATTATGCGTCGGTCATCTCCTGGTTTCACTGCTTGCCTGTTCCTCCTCAGCTAGCACCCTATGGGCCTGCTTATACAAACAAACAAGTTTACTATCAGTCCTATCTTTGGTTTTTCTTGCCACATTACTATCCCTGCATCATAGCTGCTATTTGTGAAGTGTGTGCTGCTTTGGCAATTCATTGGAGTGTTCAGCAGTGTGTGATGTAGTAGAAAATCGAGCATTTCTTTCGTACAAAAACAGACTCTGCATAAGTAAATTAACTTACCACACATGTAGGTACTATTTTTTCTGCTGCGTTGGATATGCCTCTTGGCACAGCATAAGTGGAAAACTACAAATGAGCTGTTTGCTTCTTACCGGTAATAACAATATATGTGCATAATAAGGCAAATGCAAATACACTTACCCTCCAAATCCACTCCGTCATGTCGACGGTTGTGAGATGAGACTTGGGATGTCGGTGGCAGCTCAGCAACAGTTCCTGAGCATGAGCCTTCATCCTAAAACATCGACAATAAACACAATAAAACTTATTCCAAAAAAACTGTTGTTGGGAAGCTTGATCCTGAAGTAATGAAGGCAACAAGGGATTAAAGAAAACCTCTCGTGCTTAATTCCTTGTACTCAGCTATATCAGATTGTTCCCAACTTTATTAGAGCTTTTAAGGCTGGAAGTCTCTCCAAAACAATTATTTATTTTCTCTGTTTGGGGTTTGAATTATCTCAACCGTGGATTGTAGGCCGGCAGAGGTCATTAGTGTAAATGAATTTGTTTCATTAGGTTGTTTCTATATTTAAGAAACACTAAATTGGTCTAGCTGGAATTAGAGGGCTGTTTTTTTTTTTTTGAAAGAGGACATTTTTTTCATGGCACATGCCAACCACCCTCAAAAGATCACAGCAGCTGATGAATGCAGCCCTGTGCATTTTTTTGGTTTAAAACTGTGCATCAAGCTTGTGTTGTAACAACATTGGATTGGCCAGGCTGACCCGGCCTAAGAGCTGCAAACAAAGCCACGAAACTTCCCAGAGCCAGGGGGGGCTCAAACTTTTATCCAGAGCAATAAAGGAAACTCGAACTCCTTTCAATATATCGGAGTCAAAAGCAGTTCAACTGTATGCAAAGTAGCAGTAGCTCAAGTCCACCAAACCGCAACCTGTCTTTCGATTTAAGATATGTTCCATTTCTCTTTTTGGGGAAGTGCTTGTGTGACCAGGAGGGAGGCGGGGAAGTGGAGGGGGGGAGGGGGGGGGGAAGGGAGCCACGAGCCATACTTTAACACACAAAGAGTCACATGCGGCTCTCGAGCTGCAGTTTGGCCACCCCTGTAATAACATATTCACAGCAAACTGCATTTATTGTATTCATTGCACATAAATGCCACATACCTCTGTGGAGGCAATTTCAGAAAGTGGAGAAAAAATTAAAAACAGTGTTTAAAAAAGTATTATTGACCATCTGAAGGAAATAATCCAACAGCCCGGAAACATGCCGAGAGAAACAAAAGTGACCTTTAGGGCAGCACTTGCGTTCACACTGGCGGTTGATCCGAGTTTGCAAACCATGTCATGGATGCGGTTTGCGAGCAACCCTGCTCAGACACACAGAGACGCGGTTGGTGATTCCTCGGCAATCATGTGTGATCTTTGGCGTTTTGCGTTCGGCAACCTTGTTTTACAATCAAAAACCAAATATAAAAATCTTTTTTTTTTTTTGGGGGGGGGGGGGGGGGGGGGCTGTTTGCATGCTATAGAGGCTGCAGCACTTGGTACACATGCATCGCAAGTTCAGGTAGCAAAAAAAAAAAAAGAAAAGAACCTGCAAAACCACATCTTCAATTCCTTCGACTGCGCCCACGGGCAAGGCCCAGCTAGGTGTGCCTTGCTGACTCAAAAGAAGATGCACCCGACCTTTTCTTCAAAGTGGACCCTTCCTGCATGAATAGCTGACCTTGTTTTCGGGATAAGAGGGCCCGATTTACCTGCCTTTTCGTTCGCTTTTTTTTTATTTTTCGGAGTAGTGCGGGAAATGTGTGGTGCAGGAAATGTGACTGGCTAGTGGCATGTTTGGTGGCTGACTCGCCTCTCGTCACTCACACGTCGATCGAGGCTGCTGTTTGTTTATATTAAAAGGGCACTAAACAGGGTTTTACGAGCCCTAAGCATCCTAAAATTCCAAAAATTACAATCGTGCATGATTTTAATTTTTGAATTTTTAGGATGCATGGTGCCCGTAGAATCAGTTATTACCAAGAACAATCACAAAACCCTCTTTAGTGCCCCTTTAAGCTCATATAAACGCCACATGGATTACCTGTGGATAGTCTGGTATGTATACACTTGATTTCTTGAGTAGATTTCCTTTATTCCTTTTGGTGGTAGAAACATCACACATTAAGCTAGCACAGTTATCTTGGATGTCCCGCCAGTTCCGCGATAGTGTGTGCGCTACGCAATTACGTTCACGGCATCTCTATCAGCCTTCGAGGTTGTGATGCTTGGTATCAAAAGCTTTCAGCAGTTTATGCGAATGCCGAGGTAGGTACAGAAGCTGCAACTTCGGGTGATTGGAGGCGGGCTTTGATGTTCAACGGGCAAAGACGAACAAGGCAGCGCAGCGACAGGCTTTGGCACCCTAAATAATAAACAGCTCGAATTACCCAAACCAGAAACCAGTTAAGATTACGAGTCAATTATCTTCGCAGCAGATTCAAATGATGGACTTGAACATCATGTTTCTTCGCTGAATAGCCTGCTGCAATGCTAGAACTACAGCGCATAGGATGCCTCAGCAGCGAAGGGTGCCATTTCGCTTCGAAAGTCACTGACGTCACGTCAGCATCACGTTGCAGTTGGTTGCCGCTTTGCAGTTCACGAATGTGGTTGGAAGGACTTTGTCACGAAGCGGTTGGCAAAAACG